ATAACTTAATGAGGTTTTTTGTCTAGTAGAGATAAAGGAGTGTGAACATCAAACCATTAGAACCCTAAAGTCCACAGGTGACCTATTGTTTTCAGTATAGTATTCTTACAGAGAGTTTCTTTATATTAATTGATTGATGCAAGTGTAAGGTCCAAAGTTAGTTTCTTAGCCATTGATTAAGTAATTTATTGTTGGATCTTAGTGTAATTCTTCTGATGGACAATAAAAATTAGAAATTCTAGAGTTTTTGAATGAATTTTTTTGTGAGTGATCATTATATTGTTGGGCAGTGTTATCTATATAGTCAGTACTGATGCATTGTTTGTGTATTTAGGGGTTCCTTTTGCGGGACAGAGGATCAGATGTTGAGAGTTTGGACAAACTCATGAAAACCAAAAATATACCTGAAGCTCACCAAGATGCATTAAAAACTGGTTTTGCAGAGGGTTTTCTGAAAGCTCAAGCACTAACGCAAAAAACCAATGGTAAGTTGATTTGACACCATCCATATTTGGGAAGAATATCTAAAAGGAAGTCATAGTCCTACCTTTAAGTGATTACAAATATGTTTTCTAACAAGTATGCACCTTTTAATTGGTTATATTCCATTATATTTGTAACTTAAGCTGTGTCAAAATGGAAAATCTATTGGCACTCTCCCTTTTCTCAAATGAGAAGCAACGTCAAGGACAGAAGCATGAGTGCCTTGATGAGGTTTTTGGTCACAGGGTGCTGAAAGGAAATCATGGCAATTATACAAAGGAATGCCAGGTTCCAAAATTGCATGTGATAGAATATGATTACTATCAATAACCTAATGCTTACTTTTCATCAAGCTGTCACTTGTCATTGTTGTCATTTGATTTAAGGTTTTTTTTTTTTCTCCTCCAGATTCTCTGAGACGAACTCGTCTGATTCTCTTCGTTCTGCTGCTATTTGGCATTTATGGACTCTTAAAAAACCCATTTTTATCTGGTAAAGGCTCTTTTCATTTATCTGACTTTTTTTTTTTGTATCTTTTAAATACTCAATTTTTTTTTTCATAGTTAGTCTGCCTTAGACTTAGGAGAGAGGAAGCATTTACCGTTCTAGTGTCTAGGCCTTTCTTTCCTAAGTCAGCACTTCACAGATTGGGTCAATTTGAGATTGCGTTTTTGCATTAAAGTAGAAGAGTTTTAATCTATTATGGTTATATGCCATCTGCATTCTCAGGGCTCATTATTATTTACATTGCTTTGTGGATTACAGGAAAAGTTCCTTCAGACACTGTACATATTTCAAGTTTTATTTTTGAGACAATAATATTTTGTTAAAGTTCCAAGGATTATGTTATAGCAAAAATGTTAGATTAGCTTCTATTAGTGGTTCTTTTTCTAGACTTTTAGAAAGTTATACCTGTCCAATTATAAAATTTAGAAAACATGTAGAAGAATTTTATAATAGCAATACAAAGTGAAATAGTCCCCTATTTCAAAGACACACTAATAAATTTATGAAAATTTATGTATAATATATAAATACATAAAAATTTGGGGCGCCTGGGTGGCTCAGTCAGTTAAGCGTCTGTCTTCGGCTCAGGTCATGATTCCAGGATGCTGGGATCGAGCCCTACATTGGGCTCCCTGCTCAGTGGGGAGTTTGCTTCTGGCTCTGCCTTGCCCCTCCTCCCACTTGTGTGCTTTCTCTCTCCCCTTCTCAAATAAATAAATAAAATCTTAAAAAAATATATATATACAAATTTAGTATACAATTAAAAATTGCCTTAAATGAGTCTCATATTTTCTCAGTTTGCCAGTCTAAAATGAATAATGTCCATTTTAAGTGGTTCCTGTTGCATTCTCAGCTCTTCGGTTTTTACCCTGGGTTCTCTATGGTCTTTATGATTGATTACCTTGAGAGAAAAAAACTGGTATACAATTAAAGAATATCAGTTGATCTGGATCAGGACTTTATCCCAGAACTTGCATGTAACCCCAGTATTTTAAGTTTTTTGTGGAATAAAACCTGAAATGAGATTTTAACATCCAGGAATATTATTTTTTATTTTTATTTTTTTTAAAGATTTTATTTATTTGACAGAGAGAGCACAAGCAGGGGGAGCGGCAGGCAGAGGGAGAAGCAGGCTCCCCGTGTGGGACTCGATCCCAGGACCCTGAGATCATGACCTGAGCCAAAGGCAGACGCTTAACTGACTGAGCCACCCAAGCACCCCAGAATATTCTTTATATAGCTAGAGTCATCTTCTTTTGTCTACTTATTTTCAAAACAGAACCAGTGTAGGGACACTGTGTGATATTGGAGGGGTGGGATTAGCTGTGGTTATTATTTTATGTTTCTTAATTTTTTACATTAAGCAAAATATATATCAAAATATGAAGTGCATTGCCTTATAATTTCTTATAAGTTTCAAGTGGTTTGGCTACAAATTTAATTTGCATTATTTATTAAGCCCATCTGTGTAGATCCTTGAATAAACAATTTAGTGGGCTAAAACTATTAGTGTCCATTGTAGAATTACTATATTACATTTGCTCTTCCAAGTTTTTTTTTTTTTAAGATTTTATTTATTTATTTGACAGAGGGAGACACGGCGAGAGAGGGAACACAATCAGGGGGAGTGGGAGAGGGAGAAGCAGGCTTCCCACCGAGCAGGGAGCC